CAGCGGAGTATGGCCAACATAAACCCTCTTCTCAAAATACCTGTGACCAGAGCGTCGACTCCCGTTTTCCATCCGACATTCGTCCGAAACAATTACTGTCAAAAAAGTAATAATCGATCAAAATAAAAGACGCATGATGCGAACGAAGCTTCACGGTTGACATTTTAGATATAATATGTTTGTGGTTGACATTATGTTTTGATTTCGTCGAGTATTAATTATTTGACAGTAGATAATTGTTTCGGACGGATGTCGGATGGAAGAGCGGAGTAGAACCCCAGGAGTGGTACATACTACGGGATGAATATCGAAAACACATATTAAAAACTTGTGGCATAATGTCACTAAAGACAGCATAAATAATTGTTTATTTTTCTTTCTTTAATAACGTACTGATAACGTAATGTAAATAAAAAAAAATTATAATATCTATACTATAATGAGTCACATTTTTAGCCACGTACATATGACAGCAAACACTAAAAATATGTACACAAAATACGATGTCATTGAGAGGCGCAGGGTCGAGGCCAAAACGCTAAGTCAACGCCACTATGACGTGACAGTAGTGTGGCTACACTTTAATGCAATGTATTTCGGAAATCATCATATTTTTATAAACATTCAAGTAGTAGTAAAATATGTAGAAGTAAATTTTATTGGTGAATAGAGTTTTTATCACTTGACTGAATAACTGATTAACTGAATAAAGATAAATTTAACGTTTTTAACCGACTTAAAAAAGAGGAGGTTCTCAATTCGTCTGTACTTTTTTTTTGCGATAACTATATACAATAGCATTTGTGAACGGATTTTGATGATTCTTTTTTGTTGGAAAGAAGGTACCTCAGTAGTTGTCCCATTCAAATTTGAAGAAAATGCACCACCTCTAAGGGTGGAAAACTAGGGAATGCATCCAGTTTCGCGCACTTTTCGATAACCGATTTCAATAAAACTTGGCAAATAGATGTAATTCCACGAACTTTAGAGGTCGGTTTTATTAGTACTCTGTAATGAGATTACTGTTATTTTCATTCCGATTTCAAGTCACTTTAAGTATAGGGTAATTCAGTTTTGGAAAATTGCTGACGTCGTTAATTTGTACGCTCACATTGTAAGGTACAGTATACTAATTCACATGACATGAATCATTTCTGTCAAAGTAAAGACCAGTTAACATCATGGTCACAACAACTTGGAGGAAGTCACTATTTAGTTTATCTGTTTGACGCGTCGAGTATGATGCCTGTTACCTGGCTTTTAAACAATTTTGTTCACAAGCCAGTAATTATACAATATCCTCAATTTTAATTTATTTTTTCACGCTATTCTGCTAAATGACATACAATTAAATCGAATCTCTCTTTATGAATTTTTTTTTGCATTTCCATCGTAATAGAGTAATATCCTTCGGATGTTCCTCGCTTTCAAAAGCGTATATATTATTTTTTTAAATGTCTTGTGACAGGACGAACAAGTCGTGGGCCAGGTGGTAAGCGACACGCCTGTCCGTAACAGTTTGTAGTGCCACACAGAGCTTTAAATCGCAAAGATCTAAGAAACACTGCCACTGCGCCCGTCACCCTGAGACATAAATTGACAAGTCCCATGTGCCTGTAGTTTCACCAGCACTCTTACCTTTCAAAACTGGAACGCAGTAATGCTCACATTACCGCTTCACGGCAGAAATTACTAAGGTGCTTATGGCGGTACTTGAAACTATTTAATTTCTTCATTATTTTTCATAATTATTTTCTAGGAACCTTCGAATATCAACTTTTTTTTAATATGAATATAGCTCATTAAAATAACAAACTTAACGCGAGCTACAGCTCCAGATATCTGCAATGTTAAACCGAAAATATTTAATTCTGAAAATTTTGCCTATTACTTTTTACGGCAGTTGGTCAAGATTGGAGTGGAACTAAATTATGAAATATAATTAAAATACATGAAATAAAATTAATAAATTTAAAGACATTTCCTGGTAATTATTTAAAAACCGCCTTTTTCAATGTTACAGATTACATGCAAACAAACGAAGCACTTCCAATTTACTTATTTAAATTTAACTTTTATTTATTTAAATTTAATTTTCCAATTTACCAACAAAATAACTATTTTTTTTCGCAACTAACTTGCGTTTATTTGTTTTTTCAAACAAGCAACTTTCGAAAAAATCAAATACGCGATTTAGATCCGAAAAAAGCATAGCAATCGCAAAAATCGAAGACATAGATTTGCTTTAACCTGTTCTTCTGTTCTGTGTTCTTTTAAAGGGCTAATAAATCATGTTATAATATAGAAGAAATTTATTTGTCATTTTGTCAATGTTACAAAAAATCCACAATGCACATTTAGCTCTTGTTGTCTATGATATGCCTGTATCGCCTCTCACTTGAGGCTGGTGTAGTTCCCAGGTCGTGGAAGCTTGCAAATGTGCAACCCGTGCCCAAAAAGGGAAGCAGAGCTGACCCTGTCAACTACAGACCTATCTCAGTCACTTCCATACTCTGCAAGACAATGGAACGTGTACTCAACAACCGTCTCCTGTTATACCTTGAAGACAATGACCTCCTCTGTGATCGCCAGTATGGATTCCGACGAGGGCGATCTACCGGGGATCTACTTGTGTATGCCTGTCACATATGCCTATAGCCTCGCTCCACTGCAGTGTCTTTGGACATTTCTAAAGCTTTTGACAGGGTCTGACACGCAAGCCTTTTAAGCAAGCTTCCATGTTATGGGATCTTCTTGTGTATGCCTCTCACTTATGGAGCGAGACTATAGAAGAGCATACCGAAGCCATTGCAGAGTCTTTAGACATTTCTAAGGCCTTTGACAGGGTTTGGCGCGCAAGCCTTTTAAGCAAACCTCCCTCTTATGGGCTTCCCACTGACCTTTACAATTGGATCTCGGATTACTTGAGTGAATGTTCGAGTGGTCTTAGAAGGCTACTCTTCCGAACATACGGCGATAGAGTTCCTCAGGGTTCCGTACTGTCTGCAACTCTCTTTCTGCTGCATATCAATGATATGTTAATTCCAAGTACATTTGCGTATGGTGATGACAGTACAGTTGTGGATAGGTATTGACCAATGCAAGGGTCAGTGGAGAGGAAATCCAGTCTTGTCGAGAGTCCATGATTAGCCGTTTAGATTTGACGCTCAAGGCAGTCTCCGATTGGGGCGATGTCAATCTTGTCAAATTTATATTTATTATATTATATATTTACATATAATAAACGAAGTCCCTCCCTCCCTCGAATCCCTTTGAGTTGACTCTGACTTTTCGTGATATATCCATACCGATAGCCGACTGTCTCCAGCTACTTGGAATGGACCTGTCGTCCAATCTGAACTTACATTGAATCCATGACCTAAAATGCCGCCAGGAAGCTTGGCATCCTTTCCAGAGTGAGGCGTCACTTCACACCGGGACAGTTGCTTCAGCTGTATCAAGCACAAGTCCGGTTGTGTATGGAGTACTGTTGCCATCTTTGGAGTGGCTCTGCTACATATGAACTGGCCACCTTGGATTCAATTGACAAGTGTGCCAAGAGTATTACGCTTGCACAATTATATGGCGAACAGCTATGGGGTGGAATTCCCTGCCTGCAGACTTGTTCCCTGAATGTTATAACTTGGACCTTTTCAAGGCGAGAGTGAATAGGCATTATCTAGGTGTGCATGCTCCATCGTCGATCTCATCGTCACTTTCCATCAGGTGACATGGAGGTCAAATGCACACTCATATTAGAATAAAAAAAATATGTATTTGAAATTAAATATTGTAAAGGACAAATGTGTAGAAAAGTTTATTTACAAAGAGCAGGCTCTAGAGTTTCCTCCTCATTCTTCTCAGGGGAATCTGCCTCATGAGTGAGTAATATTATTGGGTGTAATTGCATACTATGAAGTAAAGATAGATTTTAATTTGAACAATATTACAATTTAAAATAAAATAAAGATAACTTAGTCCAAAACAAAATATTATTCTAAAACAAAATCATTTTAATTAAGTAATTAGTAAAGCCAATTTTAAATTAATATTTTCAGTAAGAAACTTATTTTTTATCACTTGCCAATCTTGGCACATAGTAAGTAAGTAATGTTTGTAAACAAAAGTCTCAATTACCTATTAATAGGAAGTTGAGTCAGTGATTTCTATAAAACTTAGGTAGTGAAATCCAAGAAGACACTCATTTTATTTATCATTGTAGGTACAAGTAAATGTCTTCTTTAACTCAATAAAAGACCCTTGCACAATATTTTGTAATAATTGTTCTAAAAATAATATCAAAACCATTATGGAAGGGTTTTTATTAGGCCAAAGTAGAAGCATCTGCTTCTTAAATATCTAGTTTGAATGATTCATATTATTTTGAGGAACTGAAAAACCAAATCAGTTATTTGGTGAGTGGGTACCTACTTCTTGCAAAATGTAAAAAAAAGAAGATATGAACAAGTTATTGTAGGTAGTAATAATACATTGTCCCACAAAATAATTACTTTCTGTTGCATAGTATTTGTGTAATAAAATAAAACAGGATGGTAGTAAAATATTTTCGTTATTCGGGACAGGCTAAGGCGTCTTAGCCATACTGCCAGAACTTAAATTACCCTGATACTCATTTTTTTTAATACTAGGTAATATACATTATGCTTCGCCACATCAGATGTAGGAAATGGCGTTTCATATAGCATGATAAATATATAAGATATTGAATTACCGGTTAAGAAGTAATTTCAAAAATAGTCGCAGGCACAGGTTTCTAGATTAGAAGCCAAACAATAGATGCGAAATAGGTTATTTTGAGACGAAAAGTAAACTTTGAATGCTACCAAAGCCATTATAATCAAAGAGAAGATATAACAAACAAAATCCCGTTCTTAACAAGAGAAGAAAGAAAAAGAATCCTGTTGGATAAGATCGAATCACTGCCAGCCGGCTGCAGATGCTTCAAGGCATGCAAAAAAAAAACACAAAACAATACTCACTCGCAAATTTGTTGCACAATTTATCACCGAAATACTCTAAATTAGAGTCACAATTTTTTTTACTTTTTCGTATAAAGTTTTTAAACAAAAGAAAACACAATTTGGGCACAGAATCATTCACTTGTTTTTATTTACGTGTGTTCGAGATTTGACAGTTCGTTCGTGGTTACGTACGCATGCGCACTACACTACTCTCTCACCCGCCGGCCGGCAAGAAACTGACGAACGAATGAATTTAAGGGGCGAAAGAATCGACCGTTGAATGGAGGGAATTCTCGAATGAATGGAAAGCAGATGGTTTTAAACAGTAACGAATAGTAGACGATCAATTTTTTGGTAAGTAATTATTATAATTTTTGATCGTACCTGAAATACATTTATGCCGAATAAGTAACTTATGAAGTGATTTAATAAAAATTTACATACACCACGTGGCTACACTCTGCTGCAAAAATGCATTGATGTACTACTCGGACAACAAAAATCAAGTTTTCGAATTTTTTATGAATCCTATTACTAAAAACGTTCCAATCTGACTAATAATATATCAACCATTAATAAGAATGCCGAGATGTATAAAACTAAAGTGTTGTTTAATAAAGCTACAAATATGTTAAGAAAGTTACAAATTGTTGATTATTGTAAACATATACTTTTATGGTATATTTATACTCTTGCTTTAGGATTTCCATGGAGGTACTTTGCATGATGATGACGCACCTTCCTTGCTTCACTCACATTCATTCATCAATCTTTTCATACTTAAGCCCTCCAATTCTTATTACTAGGCATTCGACTCCTGCCACGCCTTTGAAAGTTGTAAAAAATGCCTGTCATTTTCGATAACAATTACACTTCACAAATTCCTATTAAGTAACATAGGTAGGTACTTATTTGAATATCGTGGTAAATTTTTTTTAGAATGATGTTTCATTTGTGATTTTCAATTCACGTTTTCTTACTAATTATTACTTATTCTGTCCTCAGGCCGAAAAAACGCTCAACTAACATTTTTATAAAAATTGAGTTTTTTAGGTACATATTCGGGATCAGGACAACAAAGACATTTTATCTCATTTTAAAATTTTAAATTTTTACTTAATTTTAAACGTTGGATATACAGTATGGCACAATTGACATCAATAACCCGATTTTTCTATCATAAAAAGACATATTTTTGATGTTTGTTAAGTTAAAATACAAGTATTAAAAGGTTTTATTTAGTAATGTAGAGAATCGTGCCTTTGGTTTTATTATAAGAATCACGTTTAAGTTATTTATAAACGAATAAAATGGCTAATTAAAATACAATGAAAATTTCAGTTTAAAATATGTCCGTAAAACATACATAATGTATTTAACATAATTAAACTACTTCATATCAAAAAATATTTTAACTGTTCTTTTTATTAAACAAACATGAAACATTTTAAAACTTATTTGTCTCCGAATTTTGAACTTGCTGCTTGCCTTTTTTCATCTCTAGACGGCAGTTGTACCTACTGAGATAGAATGGAGTACGACAACCATAATAGTTATCCATTGACTTATTTGTAAGTCAATGTAATTATCCAAAATTTGTGTAAATAAAAATATGTTGTTGGTCTTTTTCGATCTTTGTTATCACTCCTATCACTACTACTTTTAGCAGCAGTAGAGCTTCATGTAAAAGAAATCGTCCAGGGAAGTAGTGCCACCTTACCTCTTCCTGCCGCCAAGCAGCAATGTCTGCATTATTGTGTTCCGGTTTTGAAGGGTAAGGGTGTTGATAAAATTACAGGCACATGGGACTTGTCATCTTATGTCTCAGGGTGACCGGGCGTGACAGGGCGCAGTAGCATTGCTCAGATCTTTATGATTTAATGCTCTGAGTGACACTGCAACTGGACAGGCGTGTAACTTACTTTCAAGCGCACGACTTCTTCATCCCGTCACTTAATAAAAAAAAAACCTACTCGCACCATATTTTATTAAAAACGAATTCACTGTTAATTAAATAATTTTTAATTTAATTAGTTAATATCTGATTAATTCGTTTTGCTACGGTTATGACATAGGCTGACGACACCTGTTAAAATTGTTATAAAATTCCTCAATATCTAAACTTGTAACAATAATTTCTAAATAGTCACCTGTGAAATTCGGTACTGAACTGTGCGCATATTTTTACAAATTTATAAGTTTCCATTATTTAACAGAAGACGCATAGAGTTGTATCGTGTCACCAAGTTGTCACCTGTAACTGTAAATTCTAATATTTATTGTACGTCTGTCGAAATGAAGGTAATATTCAAGTGAGACGTTTGTCTTAGCCATCGTCTTTGACGCTGTCGTCGACTCTACATAGCGTATGTGATACCAGGTACGCCAAATTACGTATAAAGCATATAACGACGTTTTTGCTTTTTTTGGTTATAACTACAAATAAAATCCTATTTATTTTCGTATTCAACCGAAGGACTTCTTATTATCACTAGTAGCATAACATTTACACGCACATTACATTTTAAGTTTATGTAGAAAAATACTCACCCCATAGAGACATAGCTGTAACCAAAAATATGAAAATAAATGCATTTTGTCACTTATATTACGGAAACTAAATGTCTGCCTTTTTTGCTCATAGTGACTCTACATTTTCATTAGTATTGAGGTATTAAGGTAAAGGTAAGGTCTTAAGAATAAGGGAGTGTTAAGGTAAAGGTAAGGCCTTAAGAATGTGGAGACTTTTTATTCGTTACTAATATTTTAAAGTGGAAACTGTAGTTTGAAGAATATTTTTTTAGGGTTTTGTTGGTCAAGTAATCACATCCATACATGGAAAATAAAAAGTTACATAAGAAACAGAAATTTTAATGATTATCCTTAGCAACATTTTCTGTTTCATTTTACGATGACTGCAAACTTTTCGTACACTTGCATTCGTTCTAAAACAACTTTGTTTCCAACACTATAAATTGACTCTCCTGCAACTTTCAACCTTATTTCTTAGTAAATAGGTTGTAGACTGTCTATGCTTTTTATAGTGCATTTGCAAAGGTGGGGGTGTGTCTTTTATTTTCAAACAGGATATCCTGACTGGCGCGTCCCGGCCATTTCCGAGCATACGCTTCGTTAAGGAGTGTCGGTACTACAAAAAACCAAATACCACGTGCGTGAATTGCTTATGAAAAAACACCCGCCCCAAGAGTTTCGGTATAAAAGTTTACGAGAATATGAGCACATTATCCTGCCTATTAAAATTTCGAGAAGCAGTTTTTAGCTTATTATCATAATCCTTCTGACAACAGGCAAAAAAATACTTAATCCTGAAAAACAAAATTGTTTCCTGTTACAAATTTCCTATTGTCGCGTCTAGCCTTCGTGGATGACCAACGGACTGACTGGACGCAATTACAGACTCACTAGACTGACTGGAATTCAAAATCAGACCGATTCGTTATGGACAAAAGATGACATGGGCAGTCCTGACCAAACCTCCGACACAAGCATACTATAATTTTGCAGCTGACTATAATTTTGTACAGGCAGACCGTACACCTATTGACGCACGCACATTGTTGGGGATCGCAATTATATTTCGCTGTGGCTGTTTGCTATCACTAATAATAATCATCAGCTGAAATATGAACTGACTTCTTTTGAAGTAAAACTTCCATTCAACATCGCTTTAATGAGTTTTGAGTATCAGTAGAACGGCTAGATAACGTCATAAAGCAAGGAAGCATTGCAAAAGAAGCAGCTGCATGTTTGTAGGTATTAAAAATATCTTTCCTTACTGGTGTACTATGTTAGTATTTGAGATACTACGTAAAAGTATCCCGGCTGATACATCTTATCTCAAATACTGGTAGGTAAGTTACATACAAGTTAGAACCAAGTATAAACCTACCCCAGTAGCCCCGAAATTAATAAGTTGGCGGAAACTTTTTGTTGGGTATACTTACGTCATAAAAAAAGAAAGCCTAACAATAATGAGCAAAGAAACATTGTGAGTCGGGCCTCAAGAGAGCAAACAAAGGATTTCTACACCCACTCGACTGCGCAGAAAAAAAGGGTCTGTCCACTCGAAACGCGATTATTAGTTCTATAGAACACTGAGGTTGAAGGGTTTGGAATGCTTCTGAATATTTTGGTTTTAAATTTGGCTAAGACTAGGTGATTAGTCTTGTAGCTTTTGTAAAAAGTACTGGTGCCCGTTTTGGTGAAAATCAGGTCAATACAGGCATATGGGACTTGTGAACTTAGACGCTGTAGAAGCGCTGCACTAAATTTCATCCAATAGGCATAAACACACATCAAAAATGTCTAGGGATCAAGCACGTTTTCACCAAATACTGAAAATCAGAACTTTTATTTAATTTTTTCTTAAGACTAATGGTTTTTATGGTCAATTTCATGGTTTAATAAATAATTTAATAAATTTATATAGATATTTTTATTTAATTTTAATAGGGTAATCACATAAATAAAATAAAAATAAAAATACCTTGATCTCTAGATCTTTTTGATGTGTGTAGTCTGCATAAGTGGCACGTGAGAGGCGGGACTGTGGCGCTGCAGATGCGTCACTAAATATTGCAGGATTTTTTTTTTGTAGTTTCAAGTGATGGAACGAACAAATCGTGCGCTTGAAGATAAGCTACACGTCTGTCCATAACACTTGCAGTGCCACTCAAAGCTTAAATCGCAAGGATCCGAGGGGCACTGCCGCTGCGCCCGTCATCCTGAGTCATTTAAATTAATAAGTCTCAAGTGCCTGTAATTTCACCAGCACCCTTACCCTGTAAAACCGGAACGCAGTCATACTGGCATTACTGCTTGGCCGGAGAAATAGATAAGGTGACAGTACTACCCTGGACGAACTCTTTCACAAGGCGCTCTATACAGCTGCTAAAATTAGTAGCTATTAGTGGCGCCGCTGCAGCGCTTCTTAGGCGTTTAATTTGAAGGCGCCCTATGTCTCAGGGTGACAGGCGCAGTGACAGAGACCCTCAGATCTTTGCGATTTAAAGCTTTGAGTGACATATGACACTGCAATTTCTATAGATGGGCGCGTCACTTACCACCACGCGCATGACTGGTTCTTCCCGTCACTCGGTGTCACAAAAAAAGTGTGTACGACCTCCGTGGCCGTATGGATTGCACATTGGTTTTCATGGTGTCGCCATCTCTTAGGTCCCGGGTTCGATCCCGAGCCGGGTCA